CACTCGTGGCGCGAGCAATAGACCGTTCGGCGGCGGGCGGGCTCGACCCTTGAGTGGCGCCGGCAACGGGCGTAGCGCGAGCACTCTTCTTCCGGGCCGATGGCGCGGCCTCCTCGTGATGCGAGGGAACTCCACCTCCTACTCCTCTCCTCAGATGGGCGTCCGCTCCGGGGTCCAAGGGGAAGAGGCAAGAGGAAGGAGGGGAGTTTTGTAGCGGCGAAAGGGAGGCAGGCGCCATCGGATGCCGAGCCTGCGGGACGGGGCTCAGAAGCCAGCGTCACACGAGCAGCAGCTGCGGCAGGCGCGGGAGGAACCCGCGAGCAGGTCAGACGCCTGCCTGGACGGCCTGGCTGGGGCCACGCCCAGATGACACGGGCGCGCACTGCCAGGGGGGCAGCGGCGCCCGAGCGGAGAGTGTGCACACTCGCCGCTGCCGGGTGCCCACAGGAGGCAGCCGGCCCACCCCCACCCGAGCTCTGACTGGCGGGGTGAAAGAGCGACCCCGAACCAGCCAGATCACGGAGGAAGCGTTGGGACCCCTGCCTGCGGCAGTGGCCCAAAGCAGCTCGTAGCCCAGCAAGTAGAACACCGCCGCGTAGGTGAAGAGGAACCTGCGCGGCGGTGGCAACCGCAAGCCCCCTGGCGCCCTGGCCGCGCGCGCGCGCGGCGGGGGGAGCGGGGGGCGAGAAGAGCAAGCTTGGGGCCGAGAAGCTGCAGGACCTGAACGGGCGCGAGCGGCAAGGAGAATAGAGAAGCGCACTTGTGCTAGAACCGCAAGCTCGGGCTGAAGGATCGAACGCGGAATCCAGGAGAACTGTGCAACGTAAGAGAGAGTAGTGACAGCCCGTGTGTTGTACAGCAGGGCCGACTGGCTGGCTGGGGTGGAGCCTCGGCCAATAGCTTGAGCCCGTAAACGCAATTTGGTGAGCGGCTCGGTCCAACAACGCTCTGCATCGGCCCCAGGCCCCAGCCAGATGCCCAAGTAGAGCAAGCACGCAACCACTTCGAAGGAGGACCAGTCGGGGACCCAGTAGGAAATCTCATGGAGGACTCGGGCAGCGAGCTCAGGTGAATATGGTCCGCAAAGAGGGGCAACTTTGCCCTTGCTTACCTTCAGAGCGAGGTTGGCCATACCGGAGGCCTTGGGCATCACCCCGAAGACTCGAACGAGGTCGGCGATCGACGAGAGCGCGCCACCGATGTCGTCCGCGCAGGCCCGCACGAGGCCGAGGGAGGAGTGCTCAATCAGCTGGACCAGCTCGGTGAGAAAAGCCGCAGTACTGAATGCAAATAGGGAGCCAGAGAGGGCGCAGCCCTGAATAATGCCACTGTCGATCCAGTAAACATGTTCGAGAACCCCCTGCACCACAGCCACCCCGTCGATGGCCGCACACAGAAACGCGACGAAGTCGAGGAAGCGATCAGGAAGCCCGAGGATCCGAAGTGCGAGGGCCATAAACTCCTGATTCAGAGACGGGAAGGCCTGGCCGAAGTCCAGGGAGCACAGGAGCGGGACGTCCTGGGAACCGCGAGGGGTGACCGAAAGCATCCTGGCCGAGGCGTCGAGTTCGATGATGTTCTCGCCGAAGTTGCGGCGCGGCATGACCCCTCGCTGGCAAGATGGGACGAGGTCCAACGCGGGGCGCACGGCACGATTCATCGTAGCAGAGATGAGCTTGATATCAAAGTTCCTAAGACCGAGGACGCGCGCCTTGTCTGGGGCCCGCTCGCAGTCCCCTGAGTGCAGCTCGTTGTCGGTAACGTTTTTCGGCAGGAAGATCTGAATGGTGTCCGAGGCTGAGGCGAACAAGAACTGGCCGCCCCCGATCCACTCGAGGGCATCCCAGAGAACTTCCTCCCCGAAAGGGTGAGCTTGCCACGCAGCATAGGGCAGAGCGTCAGGCCCAGGGGTCGAGTGTTGAGCACCACGTAAAGCAGCACGAAGCACGGCACGGGAGGGCGGAGGGAGATGCAGATCACCAGCACGAGGTAGGAGACGTCGGAGGTAGGGGCGGGCAGCATCAGCATCCCAAGCCTTCTTCCTAAAGACGGGGCCCCAGTAGTCGGCGAGGGCCTGCAGCCGTTGGGACGGGTCCGAGACAGAGGAGCCATTCGCCAGGCGGACACAGGAAAGGGAGACACGTCGATTCAGAGGTGACCACAGCCTTGCCCTGCGCTCCAGGGCTTTGAGCTGAAGCCGAAGCTGAGCACGATCCCCCCGACGGCGGCGGCGACCTTCCAATTCAGCTGCGGCGGCGGACGCAGCAGCGGACTGGACCTGGCCAACCCAGGACTGGAACGAGGGAGGGTGGATGAGCTCAACCTTGCCAGCACGCACACAAATCATGTCACCAGCTAGAAGGTGCGATTCCTGAAGCCGACGCGCCAGAGGAGCGTCCTGTCGCCAGACAACTCGTGCAAGTGCCCGTGCAAGCTGGAGAGGGGTGCGAGGGCGATGAGGACGGGCACGGAAAAGGCGATCACGAACTTCGGCCGAGGCGATCTTCAACAACTTTTTGTAATGCTCGAGCTTGACAGGCGGGGGCATCTGGGGCCAGTCGGAGGCTGCGATGAGACCCTCGAGGCGCTGCTTGAACGCTGGCTCGTTAAAGATGTGTTTGGGGATGGCACGCTCATCCTGAACCCCGGGAGCCCTGGACGCGAACGAGACCACCACAGCGGCGTGATCCGACACAAGTCTGTCCGACACTAACGCAGCCGAATCGACAGTCGACGCCTGGACCACCAACTGGCACATCTGCCAGCCCGAGAGCGAGCAATAGAAGCGGTCGGTGGAGGATTAGGCATTCCCAGCGCGCTCGTAATGCGATGGGGCGCCACATTCGATCTCGAGCAGCGGGGCGAGGGCAGCCCGCCACTGCGGCGCGCGGGCATGGTGCTGCCGTGCGCTCCGCCGCACGGCCGCTGCAGGCATATGCAACGAGACGGACTCGTGCGAAGAAACATTGAAGTCGCCATTGACCACGACCATGTGCGACTCTGGTGCTCGCTCTGCAGCGGCTCGGGCAGCTCGGATATCCCGCGCAACCCGTGCGACTTCCACCACCGAAAGCCCATGATTGTGGACGGTGTAGACCTGCAAACATATCCCACCCAGCGAGATATCAACCCGAAGAACACGCCCAGGGACGAGAGGGACAGGAAGAAGGACGACAGCATCAGGATGAAGAGGAGGAAGTACGACTGCGACGCCCCCGCGGATGCTGCCACCAGCATCAACGTCACAGAAGCTAGAACGCACAGTATGACCACGAGCCACTGTGCCCAAGAACGAGTCTAGTTGGCGATGATCCTGATGGACCTCTTGGAGAGAGAGGATCGTCTCAGAGAGACGCAACTTGATAAGGTATTGGCGCTTCAAGTCGGCCTTCTCTCCACCCGCTTGAAGAAGCGCCCTCGCATTCCAAGTAGCAAACCGCAAAGGCTCCCCTAGAGATGTCGAAGTTCGCGCAGTGGAGCGGAAGAGACGGTATATGCTAGAGAGACAACTGGCTGGCGTCCACTGAGTTCGTGATCTCCTTGGTCGCAGCACGAAGACGGTCGACCTCCATGCTATTCTTCTCAAGCTTCGGGATGTCCCAGTAGAGGACAGGAGGCGAGTCGCCGGCCGCGACCTCGATCTGCATAATCTTGTCCCAGCCCACCGAGAGGACACCGCGCTCACGATCGGAATAGAATCGCCGCCCAGGATACGCCTCTTCCACCAGCTTACGGGCTTTGCGGAGGATGACTTCCTGCTTGATCTGCTTGGGGCTCTTGTCGGGGCCGAGGTGGATTCTGCAGCGTACATCACCAGGCGGAGTGATCCAGAACTCCTTCCATTCTTTTCCTTCACGGAGATTGGCAAGGACACGGTCAACTTTGCGCGAAGCGACCCCGATGGGGCCGCTGAACTTGATCGCGAAGCGCTTGGAGGGCAGAGAGCCCTTGGCCACGATCTGGTACTCATTGCTTCCATTCTCGAAACCAATAGAAGATAGCCACGGTGTGAGCGCCTCGCGTACACTGTCGACGGAGGTGGGGCGCTGAGAGATGGCCACAACCAGAGACGGGTCGACGTCGCGGTTGAAGCCTGCAGGAACTTGGGGTTGAGGACGAGGACGAGCCTCGGCGAGGACAAGCTCGCGCCGAAGCTCAGCCATCTTGCGGCGGATGTCCGCGAGGTCCTGGTCATCATGCTTGGCGAGGCTGGAGGTGTGGGCATCGAGGACACCCTTCTGCTGGTCGAGCTGGGTCTGCATTCTTCGTGAAAGAGAGTCCAGCTGCGGGGTCGCGATCCTGCGAACATCAGCCTCCAGGGTCTCGGTGAGGGCCTGCACCATGGCCCTGAGGTTCTCCATGGCGGCGAGCAGGGGCTTGTTGCTCTCGGCGGCTGTCTTGGCGATGGCGTCGCCGAAGCTGTCTTTGATAGAGTCGAACTCGGCACGACATAACTGGCGAACAAAGTCTTCGTATCCCTCTGGCATCTCATCGTCGAGCGCAGGAGGCAATTCAACATCACCATCATCACGAGCAGCGCCACCTGGTAGAGCCCGACGCTTCTGCGGGTTGGGATCGGCGACACGAGAGGGAGCTGCTCCTTTGCCAGAGTCAGTGCCCTTGCCCGATCTGAGTTCCTGGGACGGGAAGGTCGGCGCCAGCTCCAGCTGCTCCATCTGGGAAGTCGAGAGTTTATCAGCGGGAGCGCCTGCCGCCATCACAGACGGCGGTGCCAGAAAGAGAAGAGATGAGGCGGGGTCCCAACTCCCGCAGTGAAGGCACGAAAGGGCAACCAGGAGTCGAATGATCGAGTTGGCGAGTGGCCTCAAAGCGGAACCTCCCTCGCGCTCAGGTGTCGCCCCGAAAGACTCGCGGTCGTCGGGACGGTTCATGGCCTTGAGCCAAAATGGCTACGGAGGAGAAGGAGGAGGAGGAGGAGGAGGAGAAGGAGCACGACGACGGCGACGCAGGGGACATCTTCTCCACCCCCCGCCGGGCGCCTTCGGGTTCTCGAGATCGACCGCGAGCACCCAGCCCGCGTGCTCGACGCACTCTCTGCGCCCGGGGATTGGTGGCCGTGCTCGAGGCCCGGGGAACTCTCGACGTGCCGGTGGTGGTTGGCGTGGGCCGCGAGAGCTTACGGCCCCTCCGGAGCCCCGGATTTTGGCCGGAACTCGGCGAGCTCCCCCTAGCACGTGGGACCCCAACAAGCAAAAACCGCCCCGTAAACGTACTGTACACTTTTCGCATGTACGACGTTTGGGAGTTCACAGCGTCCGGAACTGCCCCGGAGGCCTCCAACATCGCCCCCAGACGGCCCACGGCCCAACACGCCCCCAAGATGGGCCCAAGAGAGCCCAAGAGGGCCCCAAGACGGCCCAAGAGGGCACCAAGACTGCCCAAAAGGCGCCCAAGACGGCCCAAGGGGGCCCCAAAACGGCCCCAAGAGGGGCTCAAGAAGGGGGCCAGGAACCGAAGAGTCCAGCCTTCAGTCCCAGGAGGCCCCCCGGAGGCCGCAGGACATGGTGGTAAACTGCGGCAGATGCACAGGACAAGAGGTCTTGCTATCCTTGCACGGTGAGGGCCTTTAACTCAGATCGGGGATCTGGAAGCCTGAGGCTTGGCAATGGATATCGCCGACGCCCTCATCAGATAAGGCATCCTCGAGGGTCTGAGACCTCCTGTGCACACTCCTCAACGCACGCCCCCACTGGAAGGGCCCCTCCGAGGCCGGAAACGGCCAGAAGCCTTCCGTCGTGATGTTCTCACGACCCGAGGAGGTCTAGACATGTCGTGGGATGCGTGCCGACCAGAATTTCGAGGTGGATGTAGTTGTGCCGACCAGAAGGCCCCCCGAGGTCCAAGAAAGGACGACAGCGCCCGAAGACCTCGAAGCTCGAACCTCGAGGTCTGAACCCCTTAGCTCGAGCACGTACCCCCCCCGCGTCTGAACTCGCCGCGCTTCAGCGCGCACAGCGCCAGGTTCGATCTGCAGGCGACGGCCGACTCCCGCACCCAGGCGTCCGCCTCGTCGGGGGCTGTCTTGGTGAAGAGCGCCGCCTGAGCGCAAACGTCGCACAGCTCGGCCTTCGGCGGCCATCGGCGGCCTTCGGCGGCCGTCGTGGGGCCATAGTGGCCATACCCCTCCGAGGCTGCCTGATAGGTTCGAAAAGTGTTGGCCACCATCTTCGGCCCCAGGAAGCCCGTTCCAGGTCTTGGAGCCGTCGGAAACCGATCCGCAACGAAAAGCTGGCCAGAATGGACCCTGGGAGGTGTCCCGGGCCGATGTTTGGCAGGCCTTGACCCATCCAAAAGTCACCTCCGCGTCACCACCGTGACTGGCCTGGGCCATCCTGGGCCCTGGGATGGCCTATACACCCGCCCGACCGAGGCGTGTAGGACCTACGCACCACCCTGGGGCCTAGGATGGCCCTCGAGAGGCACACTGCTGCTCGGCGGCGAGCGAGACGGCCTCCTCCGAAGGAAGCGGGGCTTCTCAGAAGCCCCGCCGCCTTCTGAGAAGTGTTCTCTGTCTTCGGTGAAGGCTTAGAAGACTTCTCAGAAGGCTCGGGGACTTCTGAGCCTTCTGAGAAGGCCTTCTCTTTCCCGCTTCCCCTCCCCTCGCTCGCCGCCGAGTTGCACCGACGCCCTCCGCGGATCCAGGGGCAGCCAAAGAGAACGGAGACAGTCAGAGATCGGCCGATGGTGATCGCTCTGTCGCCTCCTCGTCCTCCCCGTCCTCCCTCCTCCTCCTCCTCCTCCTCCTCCTCCTCCTCCTCATCCTCCTCCTCCTCCTCATCCTCCTCCTCCTCCTCCTCCTCCCGGTGACCCCCCCCGCGGGGCGCGGGTCCATGGCCGGGACCTTTTGCTTCTGGCGTGTCACGGCGGCGCAACCCCAGCGACACGCTGTGCCCTGTGCGACCTGCTATGGCGTGTCGCTCTGCTCCGAGGGGGCGGAGGCCGGGAAAAGCTCGGCACGTTGACGCTTGGCGACGGGGGGACGTGATCACGTCTCTAGAGGACGAAGAACCGCAAAAACGTACACTTTCGAAGCTCCGCGCGGATTTCCTGGATCTGCGCAGGACCCACCTGGCGGCGCCTCCGGCGCCGCCCCTTGCGCGCTCCGCGCGCCAGGGAGAGGGGGGGGGGCAGCGCAGACCCAAGAAATCCGCGCGGACCGTCGAAAGTCTGTGTCGCCGAAGCGTGGTTGTCCAGAGGCGTCAGGGCGACACGCCAAGGATTAGGTCGGACATGTCCCCCTGCAGGCGGATTTTGGACAAAAAATTCAGCAGCAGTCAGAAACTATTCAAAAATGGTCCAAAAACACTCGAAGAATCAGATGTTTTACTTTTTTTGAGTTTTCCTCCTGTAGAGGGACACGCCCGACTGAATCCTCACCGCAGGCCCGCGGGCGCCGCCTGGGGCTGGTAGCTCTGCGCCCCGAAGGTGCCGGAGCACCCGCGGAAGTGCTCGCCTTCGGGGGAGCTGCTGCGGGCTCACGCCGCGCCGACGTCGGCGCTGGTCGCTGACACCGCGCGAGCGACGGAAAGAAACGGGCCACACGCGAGAAGACACAGCGGCCTCACGCCGTGGCCCATGCGGGCCGCCAGCGTGGCACACCGCTTGGGGAAAAGAGGGCGCTCGTGGGCGACCTTATGCAGAAAGTGTACGGCAGGTTCGTGTCGTGTCGACCCTGGCGTTGGCTCCTGATACCACACGGATCGTTCAACCTTGAACGATCGGCGGTCTCCGAGACGTCAGATCGCTCAGCATCGATCGATTCTGGGTCGCCGGCGGCGCTCAACGCTGAACGCAGACGGCGGGGTCGCCGCCAGTCGACACGACGCAAACCTGCCGTACGCGCGAGTGTCGGCGCAGTCGACACCGTTCGCTCCCGTCATTCGCGTGGACCGTTCCAGCCTCACACGGTCGCGACCTCCCGACGGCACAGATCTCGCTCGATGTCAGCAGCCCTCTGGGCCACCGGCGGCGTTCAGCCTCTTGAACGCCCGCGCTGGGGCCCCCCTCCGCGTCAGCGTGGCGCAAGACCATCGCACCTCGAGGCCTCCTGGATGGGGTCGGAGTAGATGGGGGGGTCGGAGGATCGCGCCGCATCGCCAATGCGTCGCCGATGCATGGTCGATGCATCCGCGATGCATCGGCGACGCCGGCGATGCCTTGGCACCGTCGGCGTTGAGAAAAGCGGGCTCCGTATCGACCATGCATCGCCGATGCATCGGCGATGCGGCGCGATCCTCCGACCCCATCTGCTCGGACCTCATCTGGGAGGCCCAGAGTACCTCAGGGCACCTTCTTGTCTTCGTGATAGAGAACCCACGAGCGCGCAGAGGTCAGCTGCTCAGGACCTGCAGAGCCCGGGTACCGCGGCGCCGACGACTCCAGGCGACTCCCCGAGCAAGGGAACACAATCTCATTTTTACTTGAACCGTCGTCGTCGTCGTCGTCATCGTCGCCCTGCCGAGTCCGAGCGCGAAGGGAGCCTAGAGCGCGCGAAAAAAACGTGAGCGGCCGCTGCCCTCTCCAAGGGCCTCCAGGAGATGCCACCTCTGCGGCCAGCCCCCGACAACCGCTGCCCCACGAGGGCCCCAGACATCCGATGCCTTGAATGATTTCGCCACGGGGTCCCCCGAAAGTCCAGACCCTTTCCCGAGCTGTTTTGTTCACGGTGACGGGGCCTGGCGAGAGCCTCCAGAGGCTGAACACTGGCAGAAGCCTCCATCGTGATTCGTTCAAGACGTTGGACCTCTGGAGAGGTGACGAGGAGAGGAGAAGCAGCCAGACAGCAGGCGACGACGACGACGACGACGACGACGACAACGACGACGACGACGACGACGACGACGACGACGACGACGACGACGACGACGACGACGACGACGACGACGACGACGACGGCCGCATTCTGAGTCCAATCTCCGTGCTCGGCGGGAAACAGCAGCTTGAAGCTCGAGTGGAGCCGGCACGCGTCCAGGGCGCGCCGGTACGCGGCCGAGGCCTCCTCGAAGCTGCCCTCCCTGACCAGCGCGCCGCCGAGACCCCGGTGCTCGCGCACGAAGCCCTGCTTCGCCTGGTCGTCCTCCACCTCGCACCACCGAGTTTTGCCCACGGCGATCGAGGATCGAGCACTCACACACCATACGAGGATCGAGGATCGGGGATCGAGGATCGAGGATCGAGGATCAGCGATCGAAGAAAGAGAGCTACGCATATACACCGATCCTGACCAGGCCCATCCCAGGATCGGTGAATACGCCCTCCTGACTTGGACCGGGAGGCATAATTACGCACCGATCCCGAGTCCAGGATGGGCCAGGGCAAGATCGGTGTATGTGCAAAGTTCTCCCCGCCCGATCAGGGTGGGGGTGGGAGGGGTAGAGCGCGCAAGGTGGTAGAATAAGCCTGTCCGGCACTGGGCGGAGAAGGGGGGGGGTGATCGCATCAGGGAGTGGATTTGGCGCGCGTGGGGGGAGCTGGAAGTGGCCGTCGCGTGGAGTGGCACGGGGAGGGTGCTCATTGAAAGCTCGTGCTGTGACGACTTGCACGTTGGTTTCCGACACCGCGTGGATCGTTCCGCCTTGAACGATCGCGGCTATCTGACAGCGCGGATCTCTCGATACCGGCCGATTCTGGGCCACTGGCGGCATTCAGCCTTCAACGCCCGCGCTCGGGTCGCGACCGCCACGACACGGCGCGAGCCTGCCAGATCGAGGATCTGAAGCCATCTTTTTTGCTCTTCCTAGTGTGGCTCCGGAAAGCCCTCTGGAGGGCCCCCAGGGGCCCCCAGAGGCCTCTGGGGGCCTCCGGAGACCTCCCCGGACCTCCGGGAGTCTGGATCCGGGGCGGCACTACAGCGCACCACCTCGCACGGGTCCATGGCCTCCGCCACCGCCAGCAGCACCCACTGGTAGAAGACCACGTCTTCTCCAGGCTCTGTCCTGGCGAATCCTGGCGACACGCCAGGCTCCCCGAGGGGGACGCCGCCGCCTGGGACGCCGTCGGGCGCGCCAACGACTCGCAGCGCCGAGGCATCGAGCCTGCCGAAGGATGGGCTCCACTCGGCCTCCTGTCGGCTACACGGAAGAGTGACCCTGGGCAGGAGTGGCCTTTGGTGCGCGACTTCACGGGGGACGCGGGGTGGCCAAACCCAGGCGCGCAAGCCGCCGCCACCCGCCTCGCGTCCAGCGATCGTGGGGCCCCATTGGGCCCGCACGGAAGGTCACTCTGCTCGCCATCGCTCGGACGTTCCTTCCCCGTGCATTTTTCGGTTTCGTGCGCGTCTTTTCTGCTCGCTGATCCAGGATGCTCCTCGATGGTCCTCGCCGAGAGAAAATGCACACGTCCGAGCGATGCCAAGTCTGGCGAAAGGTCACTCTTACGCCTCGTCGACTCCTGGCCGATGGACGTGGCCCACCCGGGCACGACCAGCTCGCTCAGCATGGCCGCCACTTCGGGGGCGGGGGCCCGGCCGTCCGGGTCCCCGCGGCACAGCGCGCGGACGCCCTCCCGGGTGCAGGCGGTGCAGGCCGCGAGCCGCCGCAGGGGAGAGCGCCCGTCGTAGGCCGCGACGGGGCGGTCGACCGCCATCAGCGCAGCCGGCAGCCGGAAGGCCGCGCACTCGTAGAGGCGCATGGATCGAGTGGGGGATCGACTACAGCATTGGTTCACTCCATACTCGATCCTCTCGTCGAGCGTACAACACACGCACAACGCTCGTAGATCTACGAACACGGTACGCATGCTCGTGGACTCGACGAACCAATCCGTTTTAGGGGTAAGTCCATTCTGCTGTCGATCTCCCTCTCGGATGGACTCCACCGCGGCGTCCCAGGAGCGCGGAGCAGCCCCGCTCCCGAGGCACCAGGACAGCAGCTCGAGGCCCTGGGCGCCACCCCGCTCGCAGGCGACCAGGACCGCGCCGCCCTCCGAGGGCGCCACCCGCAGCCCGTCGGGCGCGCTCTGGACCTCTCGAGCAGAGGCTCGACTACACAGTCCGACTTACCGTAGGAGCTCGACCACAAGAAACCTTCCACGAGAAACCCAACCCTGAGACCCCAGGATGTACATTGGTTTGTGGTATGGGAACGTCACGTATTCCACAGTGAAGCCATCGAAACCCAAGAAACCCAGGGCACCCTGGAGGCAAGACGGGTGTTTCTTGGCATGGGTCTCCACTTCACAGAATCGATTCCCCGTCGAGTCTACGAAACATCCGCAGAGTGCTCCGTAGATCCACGGACTACTCTACATCTTTTCTCACATGGGTTCGACGAGACAAGCAATGTTTGGGGGTAAATCAATTCTGTAGTCGATCCCCTACTCCAACCTCCTCCTTCAGCATTGCAGTGGAGGGCGCGCCGCCGGGATGCGCTCTGTCGGCGCTGCCGCCCGCCAGGCCAGTCCGCAGCGCCGCCTCCAGCTGCCGGCTGCGACGGAATGCGGACAAAGTACAGAGAAGACGCACCTCCTCCGGGGCTGGCTCTTGGCGCCCATCGCCGCCGGTTTCCACCGCCTCGCTGGCCGCGAAGCGATAGTCTCCTGACAGCATTGCGATTGCGCACTCCCCGCGGCGCATCGAGGCAAGCACGAGCGCCAAGCCCTTTCCGTGGGGCAGCTCACGCGCGTCCAGCCTGCAGTGGATGGTGCGCGGGGGCCCACAGCCTGCCACCGCCGCTGCTGCTGTGGAGTCTGCGGCCGGGTCGATGTCGCTCAGCTGGCAGGTGACGAGATTACCCTCGGACGCCTTCCGCGAGCTGGTGCCCTTCCTAACGATGGCCTTCCGGACCTGCCTGTCGCTGGTCAGCACCTGTATCGAGAGGAAGTCGATCAGCTCCACCTCCATCTCCAGCCTGGCCTCCGGCGCGCACAGCCGCTTGTTGCGGAAGACGAACTGGCCCTGGTCCTCTGGGCAGGCGGGCAGGAACTTCAGCTTCCTGGCGTCGCGCACTTTGCCGCGGAAGAACAGCTTCGCGGGAGCCTCGCCGCTCTCCTCCGCGCGGGCGCGCAGAAGGGTTGTGCACGAGGGGTGCGGCCTGCCAAGAAGGCGGAGGAGCTGAAGCAGGCTTCCAACGGGCCTCATCAGGCGACCCCCACGGGCCCTTCTGAGAGGGCGCGGTGCCTTCTACGGAGCCACCCCCCCTTCCACCTTAGTAGCGTGCTGGACCTAAGCAGCGGTTTCCGTGTTCGTTCTGTCCTCGTTGTCCCTCGTTCTGTCTTCCTTCCGTCTTTGCCGCAAGACGAAAACGGCCCACGAGATCGCCAAAACACCGCTCGGCTCGAGCCCTGCCCCGCGCCATCCCCCCGCCTCTTCTTGTGTTCGCCGATCTCCTTCGCCTCGCCTGGCCGCTTCCCGAACACAGGCGCCGCCAGCTGCCCATAGCACCCGCTGCAGTGCACGAGCGCCCGCTCCCCGCGCGCCATCATGCGGGCGCAGACCTCGACGCCGACGGGCAGCTCCCCGCCGCTGAGCGCCACCGTCGTGCCGCTCTCGGACGCGAGCTCCTCGAGCCGCACGGTGGGGCTCCGCGACCACCTCAGCGGGTCCTCTCACGAGCGGGGAACATGTCCGCATCCGCGCCCTCGCGGTCTGGATTCGGGGCCGCGATCCGGCGAATACGCGGTCGCACAGAGAAGTTCCGCGCGGGGCATCCGCGGAAAACAAACGCCCCGTGTCCGCGGGGTCGCAGCCCAGGGGCCCGTCCCGCGAGGCCGCGGATACGGAGATGTTCTTCGCCCACGATCCTCCGCGGGCTGCTGCTCCCCGTCTTCGGCCACCTGCCACACGGTGTAGCGGACCGTCACGAGGTCGCGCTTCCCTGGCCGCTGCTCCCCTGTCGAGAGCGGGGGCAGGATGCGAACAGAGCGGATCGGGAATCTCTGAGGGCCGGCGTGTCCAAAGGATGCATGGGATGCCGCGATCGCTCCCCAAAACACTCCGGCACTCGCGGGGAATCTCTGGGCCGAGTTATTCGTATCCTCGAGCTTCCTGGCCTGTCCCGACCCTCTGGATCGTCTTCTTGGCCTCGCCGTCGCGCGTGAGCACCCGCTCGTCCCCCTCCCTGTCCACCGGGGCCTCGTCCCGTGGGCCATGGGCCGCCCCGACGGCCAGGGATCTCCAGGAGCCAGCCAGGCAGACCCTCCAGGGGCCAGGACACGGACGAGGCGGGCCCAGCAGCCCCTGGCCCTGCCTGCCTGCTGTGGCCTCCAGAGGGCGCGCCTGGCTGCTCCTGAGGCACCCCGTGGCCATCTCTGAGCGGCAAACCGACCATGGCCCAGCTGGTTCCTCCTCCTCCTCCTCCTCCTCCTCCTCCTCCTCCTCCTCCTCCTCCTCCTCCTCCTCCTCCTCCTCCTCCTCCTCTCCTCCTCCTCCTCCTCCTCCTCCTCCTCCCTCCTCCTCCTCCTCCTCTCCTCCTCCTCCTCCTCCTCCTCCTCCCATCCTCCTCCTCCTCGGGCCAGTCCTGGGGGGGGGCCCATGCGGGCCAGCACCACCCTGGCGAAAGGTCACTACTACACGAAGCCGATCGTCGAGCAGCACCGCTCACAGCACTGGGCACCGAGGCCCCTGAGCTCGTGCGCAGCTCCCACGCAGCTCTGTGGCAGCGCTTCCTGAGCTCATAGGCTCGTGCGCAGCTCCTGGGCAGCTCACAGACAGCGATTCCTGAGCTTGTGCGCAGCTCCTACGGTCGGGAAAGTTTGCCTACGTAGCGTGTCGCCGCGGCGGCCCCGGCGACACGCCCTGCCTTGCGAGCGGATGTCGTGTCGCTCTGCTCCGCGGGGCGGGAGCCTTGGAAAAGCTCGGGACGCGGACGCTCAGGACCAGAACGTGGATAGCGTGTCGCGCCGAATTCTGGTGGGCCAGATCCGGCGGAGCGACACGGCAAGCAAAAATTCCTGACCGTCGGGGCTCCTAGGCAGTCGGTCTCGCAGCACGACCGTTACCAGCAGCACCACTTCCGACACCATCAGCTCAGGAGCTAGCGCCAAGGCCTCGAGGGCGCACACTGCTAGCAACACAGCGCATGGGAGTCCTCGCGAAGCAGCCAGCACAGGCTCCAGAACGACTGCTGCTGGCAGTGCGTCTCGCAAAAGGCCTGACGCACAAGCAAGCACCCTGGCACCCTCTGGCTGCTTAAAGCACCCGTGGGGTACATGCCGTGGAAGGTCCCTCCCTACGGCTGGGAACTATTGTTTACCGTGTCTCGGCGGCGGCTCCGGCGACACGCAATGCGGTGCCAGCGGATAGCGTGTCGCTCCGCTCCGCGGGGCGGAAGGCTGGGGAAGGTCAGGACGTTGACGCTTGGCGACTAAGACGTGGTCAGCGTGTCGCGCCGGCGGGGCGACACGCGAACCAAAAGCTCACGGCCGCACATGCGCGGGAGGGTCCTCCCTGGCCTCTGGGTGCGGCAAACGCTCCCTGCCTGGGCAGCCAAAGAATAACGCAGGGGCCTGCTCGGGGGGAGAACAACAAAGACGAAAAACAGCAAGCAAAACAAAAAAAACGCCTGTCGGGCTCGATGCACCAGGGGGGAGGGCCCGACCGCCTCACCCCGCCTTGGGGCCGGCGTAGGCAGCACGAAAGTTGCGCGGGCCGCCGAGGGCCACCGCCGGACGCACAGGCCCGTCGACGGCGGGCCGCCGAAGGGCGCTCCGGGCCGCCCGTGGCCCCCAGTGGGCCCGCGAGCGGGCCGGGCTGCACGGTTTCCCCCTGGGCCGTAGGCGACACGAGAAGGAGGAGGAGGAGGAGGAGGAGGAGGAGGAGGAGGGGGAGGAGGAGGACGAGGAGGAGGAGGAGGAGGAGGAGGAGGAGGAGGAGGAGGAGGAGGAGGAGAGAGGAGGGGAGGGGGAGGGGGAGGGGAGGAGAGAGATGGAGGAGGAGAAGGAGAAGGCGGACGAGGAGGAGGAGGACGAGGAGGAGGAGGAGGAGGAGGAGGAGGAGGAGGAGGAGGAGGAGGAGGAGGAGGAGGAGGAGGAAGGGTCGTCTATGCCCTTCGGAGAAACCGTCCAGGCCGGGCTGGGGGGGGGAGGCCTCGTCGCCCGAGAACCAGTCCGAGGCGCTGCCCTCGTCGGAGTCGCCCTCGCCGGACAAGCGCGCTCTCCACTACTCGCCAAAGAGTGGCTACTCGCAGATGGCCCAGATCCGACGCGGGGGATCCCCAGAGATCCAACGCATTGAAAAAATCAGGGCGGAGGTTTTTCCCAATTTTCGGCCTCTGAGGGCCCTCGCCAGGCCCTGGGACTGTCAAAAAACGACTCGGGATGATTTTAGCATCGACGGCAAAGTGGAAAACGAAAAACAGAGGGTCACAGAGGGGAAAAAAGAGAAAGGAACTATTCAAACGTTTGCGACTAGGCACGTTGCGAGTAGTGGAACGCGCTCGGTGACTCGCGCGCGCGGCCGGACCGACGCCTGCCTTGGCGAGCCGCTCCTGTGACGACGCCCCTCGCCCTCGAGGCCCCCCCCGCTGGCAGCCTGCCCACACGACGTCCTGGAGCGAGGCGGGGGGGCCTCTAGCGGCGGCATCTGTTCGAATCACGGGCCTGGGGGCACCCGACCCGAATCTTTCCCCGGGGCCGGCTCTCATGCCGAGCCGTCTTTGGCAGCCCAGGGGACCGAGACCAGCCCCCAGAGGCCGAAGATGGAGAAGAAGAGCGAGCAGCGTGCTTGGGGCTTCGGGGTCGTCACAGAAGGGGTCGGTTCGCTGTGGTCGGAAACTTTTGCTTGGCGTGTCGCGGCGGCGGCCCCGGCGACACGCTATGCCCTGCGAGCGGATAGCGGGTCGCTCCACTCCGCGAGGCGGGAGGCTGGGACAAGCTCGGGACACTGACGATCGGGGACCAGGAAGTGGATAGTGTGCCGCGCCGAAGCGTGGTGGGCCAGAACCGGCGGAGCCACACGCTATCCCAAAGTTCCTGGCATTACTGGTGGGTAAGGCTGCCCCTGATCCTGGCGCGCCCACTTGGGGGGCGGGTGGCAGTAGCACCTCATGGCCAGGGCAACCCGCACGGCGCGGCGTCGGTCGCCGCGCTGGCAGCGGGAGTCGCGGAGGCGGGCCTGCGCGCACTCCTTCCTCCCTCCTCCTCCTCCTCTTCCTACTCCTCCTCTTCCTCCTCCTCCTCCTTCTCCTCCTCCTCCTTCTCCAACCCTTCTGCTTAAAAACAATTTCTCCCTGTCGCACCCCGAGGTCAGTTCTTAGGGCGGGCTGGGCGCTTCGCCTGAGACTTCCTCGCCATATGTGACCCTGAAACATAAAAATTGGCAACAGCTTCACAGATGGAGGGCGGGTGGTTTTCAAAATGTGGCTCTCGCCATAGCGCCGCGATCGTTTCAACAATTTGCAAGTGTTACACGGATTGAGGTCGGGTGGTTTTCAAAATGTGGCTCTCGCCTTAGCGCCGCGCACATTCGTTTTTTACTGCGAGAGCTTCACGGAGTCAGGGCTGGTCGCTTTCAAAATGTGGCGTTCGCCTTAGCGCCGCGCACAATCGTCTCAAAAAATGCAAGGGTTTTACGGATTGAGGGCGGTTCCTTTTTAAAATGTGGTTTTCGCCTTAGCTCCGCGCACACTTGTCTTATAAATTGTAAGAGTTTCACGGGGTCCCATGATTAGCGTACAGAAATCGTGTTTTGGAAGAATTCAGGCTTATGAGGGCACAACAGTTACGTTGATTCGCGGTGTTGAAATCCCAAGAATGGCGTTCTGACACGATTCAGGATCGACAAGACGCAACAGTCAGGTTGATCCGTGGCGTTGGAATCCCGAGAACGATGCTTTGGCATGCATCAGGGTCTTCGAACGGTATTCTTCCAACGAAGCAGTTCCCTCAGTGGAAATGAACCCTTGTAGGGGCCTATGGAGAGAGAGTTCGGAGGAAGGGTTGATTCCAACATCGTTGATGACTGTTGGGATTACACTGGTCCTCCTCCTCCTCCTCCTTCTCCTCCTCCTCCTCCTCTTCATCCTCCTGCTCCATTTCTTTTCCTTAAAAGTAGCTTCTCCCTGTCGCACCCGGAGACGTGTCGGAAGGGCGGGCCGGGCATTTCGCCTGAGACGTCTTCACCAAATTTGCAACAGCTTCAGGAAAGCTTCACGGATGGAGGGCGGGCCGTTTTCAAAATGTGGCTCTCGTCGAAGCACCGCGCACATTCGTCGTCAAAGACTGCAAGACTTTCGCGGATGGGGGGCAGCTCCTTTTCAGAGTGCGGCTGTCACCGCAGCGCCGCGCACATTCGTCTTAAAAACTTGCATGACTTTCACAAGTGGGCGGCGCGCCGCGCACATTCTTCATTACAGCTTGCAGGAGTCTCACGACTGCGGGGCAGCTCCTTTTCAAAATGTGGCTCTCGCCTTAGCGCAGCGCACATGCCTCTTCAGTTTGCAAGAGTTTCACATATTATTGTGGCTGAGGTCCAAAAACGATGCTTTGACACGATGTCGGACTGTCGGGGCTCAACAGTCATGTTGATTCGCGATGCCAAAGTCCCAGAAACGGTGTTCTGGCACGCTTCAGGGTCGTCAGGACGCAACAGTAGCATTGCTTCGCGGCGTTGCAGTCCTAGGAATGGTTTTTTGGCACGGGCAAGGGTTTTCAATCAGTTGTCTTCCAATGGGGCACTTCCCTAAGTTAGAATGCATCCTGGTGTGGGCTTTTGAGGAGGGAACTTCGAAGGAGGGTTAATTGCAACATCGTCCTCCTCCTCCTCCTGCTCCTCCTCCTCCTCCTCCTCGTCCTCCTCTTCCTCCTCCTCCTCCTCCTCCTCCTCCTCCTCCTCCTCCTCCTCCTTCTCCTCCTCCTCCTCCTCCTCCCCCGACGACGACGACGACGACGACGACGACGACGACGGCGGTGGAGGTGGAGGTGGCGGCGGCGGCGACGACGACGATAACGAAGGCGACGACGACCACAACCCCAACGCCTGTCCTCGTGCGCGTTCTGGCCAGGAGCCCTGCGTGAACGGCAGCTGCGGCGACGGAGGGGCGCCCTGCGAGGCCCCATGGCCGAGAAGCCTCGAACCTCGGACACGGCTTTTCGAATCTCTATCGTCGACGACGACGACGGCGGCGGCGGCGACGACGACGACGACGACGACGACGACGACGACGACGACGACGACGACGACGACGACGACTGCGACGACGACGACGACGACGACGACGACGACCCCGCCTCCAGCAGCCGCGCGTCCCGCGCGGCGCCATGGCGGCGCGCCGGCGCTCTGGGATGGTCACCCCGGGGGGGCTGCCGCGCCGTCACCGTCGCCGCCGTCGCCAGTCGATCGAGGGACAACCGAGGATCGAGGATCGAACGAGGATCCAGGATCGACTGGCCATCGACCGAGGATCGATCGAGGCTCGATCGAGGCCTTTCCCGACCTCGGCCTCCCGGGGCCCGTCTTGTCGGGCCCCGGGGCCCTCGGAACGGATCCAGGATGAAAAGCTATTCGCCCGGAGAGGCGGTGGAGATTTCTGGGGCGCGTCGTCGTCGTCGTCGTCGTTGTCGCCACCGCTGCCGTCGTCGCTTAAGAGATTGCTGTGTCTCTGAAGGTCCTCGTCGCCGCGGCTGGACGCGGCTCGGAAGACTGGCCAGGACGGGCCCCAGGAGGCTGCTCTCGAACGGGCGTGCGCACCTGAAGAACGGGAGGGGCACGTTACGAGCAAAACCTGAGGCAAGCCTGGCTTGCAAATCGGCGCCAGGGCGAATAAGCGCATGCTTGCAACCCGATGCCGCTCAACGGAGCAGAGAGGGCGAAACAAAACCATACCTGTTTCACCTTGTGGAACCGAGGCCAGCCGGGAATGGCCGTGATGACGTGTGCCGCAGGCGCCCATCCATCGCAGCCGCGCGCGGCAGGAGGCAAAAGCCCACCGAAAACGTGGCCCTATTGCGGAGACGTTGCTCAGTCCAAGGGCTGCTGGTGGAGCATCGTCTCACCGATCCCCATCCCCTCTGGCGTGGCCTCTGTCCCACTGGTCGACGTACGCACCCGGGTAGGGACATACACGAATGTCCTGTTGGGTCTCGCCGGGGCGATCCCCGCATGGGGGGGTGGGCTGGCGGGGCCGAGGCACCCTGGCCCCCTTGGGGGACGGGGACGGGCTGGACCATGCCCACTGGTGGCCCACGGGGGCCACGAAAACTGCCCCGCGCCACGGCTGCAGTCGCAGCGGGGCAGGGCTGCCGAGCGCCCCGCGGGCGAGGCGGAGGCGCAGGCCCGCGGCGACGCGAGGCCTCGGGAGCTGGCCGGCCCCGGCCCGCACCGGGGCAGGCGCGCGCCTGCCGCGGCCAGGTCGGCGCACCGGCCAGCACCCCGGGTTCGGCGGCAACTCGTGGGCGCCTCCCATGCCACTGTTTTTTGGCTCTTGCGAATGGACGCTCATCGACGCTGATCGACGCTGATCGACGCTGAACCGACGCTGATCAAAGGCTGAATCGGCGCTTTCTCATCGATTGCACAAGGCTGCCATGACTTGCTACCGAACGAGAGGAGGACGGCTGGGCAGAAGCGCCCTCAGACGATGGCGGAGCTGGCCGCCACCTTCTTCGCAGCCTTCTCGGAGGGCGTGCTCTCGTCCTCCAGCTTGTAGTCCTCGCTCAGGCGAGGGTCGAGCGGGTTGGTGTAGCCCTCCGGTGGCAGCTCCCCGCCGCCAATGTAGGTCTTGTACATGCCCTCGTCGTCCTCCCCGCGGAGGGAAGAGCCAGCCCCAAAGCCACTGAAACCGACTGTCGTCTGCGCACTCTCCAAGTCAGACACCCCACCCCACGCGAAGGCCATCAGTGGCGGGGACCGGTCGGCGACACGCAAGGGTGACCCTGGGCCCGAGTGACCTTTGGTGCGCGGTTCAAGGGGGGGGGTCCTTTGGAGGCACCACGAGGCGCGCGCGCAACCGCACCAGAGGTCCAGCGAAAGGTTACTCTCACGTGCAGCCGAATCGGTGCTCCAGCTCCCCCTGCCCGCGAGGACCCAGGGATCAGGGCAGCGGAGTCCCTGCCCGACCCCTCTGTCTCTCTTTCGAGCGCGTGCCGCCGGTCTCTCGCGCCTCGGGCCCGCCCCCCTCCCCTCCACCCACCTACCCCCTGGCAGACAGGGCGGGGCTTGTCTGAAGACGACATATGAAACGCCGACGGTCTCAGGGCGCCTCAGCGAGCCCCGAAGCCGGCCGAGCACGGGCAGGGCTGACGAGGCTGTCCCGCCCCATCCACTCCCTCTCTTTCTCTCTCTCTCTCTCTCTCTCTGTCTCTCTCTCCTGCCCTGCCAATCCTCTCCCATCAGCCCTGCCTTCCCGACGCTGCCCTCCCGTGCCCTCGCCCTCCCCCCATGGACTTCCCGCAACACAGAGCCTGGAATTCTGTGCGCCACCCCTGCACCCCCGAATAGGTGCAGCCACCATCGGGAACGGCGCCGTGCCGAGGCAGAGGTCGGCCACACGCAAGAGTGACCCTGGACAAGAGTGACCTGTGGTGCGAGGCTTAACAGGGGATGCGGGGTGGCCGAATCTGGGCGCGCAAGCCGCTGATAGCGCTTCGCGTTCAGCGATCGGGGGGCGCCACTTGGCCCGCACCACAGCTCACTCCTGGGAAGGTCACTCTCACGTCTGGTCGAAGAGGGTGCCCCTCCCACCGGCCCGGCCTTGGCGGGCTTCGAGTTGGTGACCCAATACGCCGCCCAGCTCACGGCGAACACTAGCGCCCCGAGGGCCACGGGGAAGCTGATGCCCATGAACGTATCCGTCGAGGGGCCGTACTCGCGCGTCCTCGACATTTCGTCCAGGGGCAGGTCCTCGAAGGGCGAAAAAAACACGCCCTTGTCCGCGGCCTCGCGGGCCGGGCCCCTGGGCCGCGACCCCGCGGACACGGGGCGTGCCTTCGTGGATGCCCGCGCGGAACGCATCCGTGCGACCGCGCACCCACAGGATCGCGCCCCGGAATCCAAACCGCAAGGGAATTGATATGGATACATTCACTGCTCGTGAGAGGAGGGGGAGGTGGAAGAAGGAGGAGGTGGAGGAGGAGGAGGAGCAAGAGAAGGAGGAGGAGGAAGAGGAGGAGAAAAAGAAAGAGGAGATGGGGCGGCGGAGGAGGAGGAGGAGGAGAAGGAGGAAAAAAAGAGGAGGAGGAGGAGATGGGGAGGAGGAGGAGGAGGAGGAGGAAGACCAGCGTAGACTCAAGACCCATCAGCGATGTTGCAACAAAACCTCCCTCCAGGCTCCCTGTTTACAGGGTCCTGTGAAAATCTTCTTCCACTTCAGGAAGAGCCACATTGGAAGATAACCGTTTGGAAATTGAACCGCGCCCGAGCACAATTCCTGGGACGTTAAGGCCACGAAACAACGTTACTTTTGCGACCTGACGATCCAAGATCGTGCCAGAACAGCAGTTCTGGGACGTCAACACCGAGAACCAACGTGACTGCCGTGGCCTGACAATCCGAAGTCGTGCCAAAAGCACCACTTCTGGGACGTAAACCAGAAGACTCATTGAAACTGATGTTAACTGTCAAGACGAATGTGCGCGGCGCTACGGCGAGAGCCACGTTTTGAAAAGAAACCACCCTCCGTCCGTGAAACTCTTGCCAGCTGTTAAAACGAATGCGCGCGGCGATAAGGCGACAGCCACATGTTGAAAACAGTGCACCCTCCATCCGTGAAGCTCATGCAAGCTTTCTAAACGAATGTGCACGGCGCTACGGCGAGAGCCACATGTTCAAAACCACCCGTCCTCCATCCGTCAAACTCTTGCAAGCTTTTCAAAAGAATGCACGCGGAGCAGAGGCGAGAACCTCATGTTGAAAACCACCCGCCCTCCATCCGTGAAACATGAACACTTAAGCGAATGTGCGCGGCGCTAGAACGAGAGCCAAATGTTGAAAACCACCCGCCCTCCATCCGTGAAGTTGTTGCGAAGTTCAAGCTTCAGGATCAGAAGTGGTGAGGAAGTCTCACGCGAAACGCCTGGCTCGCCCTGAGAACTCTTCTCGGGGTGCGACAGGGTGGAGTTATGCATAAGGAAAAGGGACGGAGGAGGAGCAGGAGGAGAAGCTCCTCCAGGGGCGGCAGTTCCGCGCGCGCGGCCGCGGGGAGCAGCGCCGCCGCCAGCGCCGCAACGCCCGCGGCGCCCTCCGCGGCGCGCGGCGCGGGTACAAAGGCGCGGGTCGCGCCGCGAAGGGTCAGCGAGAGCAGGCCGAAGGCGAGCAGGGAGGGCAGCAGCGCGGCTCCGCGCCCAGCCATGGCGGCGCGCGGTGGGCTTGGCCTGGGAGGCCGCGGCGGCGCGCCGACGTCGGCTGCACGAAGGGGGGCCTTCCTCCTCCTCCTCCCTCCTCCTCCTCCTCCTCCTCCTCCTCCTCC